TGCTTTAATATTCGAGAAATAGTTGTTTTCATACGCTCTCGGGAAGGTTACAATTGGGCTATTCCCCTCGGCAAGCCTCGGGGAATAGCACAATTCTAACCTTCCCTTGAGCGTAATAAAACAACTATTTCTCTCAAAGCAGTCATTAATACTATACTAGCAGTGGGAACGGAGGGGTATATTCTTTATATTTTCCTTGGTCTCCCTGCGCGTATTGACTTTGCGTGTAGAGACGAGTGAAAATATACCTTGGTATTTTCCACGGTCTCGCATCCGGGCATCTTGTATTGACCGCGCCGTATTTTGTCATTTTCATTGCGCATCTATTATGCGTACGAGAACCTGCGCACTTTGCGCGCAATCTATAATCACACCAAATGCACACTGTTTGCAGTGGATCGAAAACAAATTCAAGCACTGGATGCACAGTGCTGGTTTGAAAAAGTTTGTTCAGTTCTTGAGATTGTCATGGTGGATTTCTGTATTTGCTCTAGATGTCTGATTTGGATAACAATAAAAATATTGACTGGCTTTACTTTCGGGGGATATCAGAAATATTGACCGCGCTAAGACCATATTGCCCTCGTCTTTCGACTCGGGGCAATATGATCTGAGCTTGGTCAATATTTCTGATATACCCCTCAAGGCCAGTCAATATTATATAATTGTTGAACGCTAAACAAGGTAGCAACAACTCCCATCTTTTAACGTCTTTTGGTATGACGCGGCCGGGGTTCGAACCCACATTTAGGCAGTTAGTTTGACATAAATTTGCCATTCCAGCTACATGTACCTCCGCCTAAAATCCATAGCGAGATTTTCTTGGTTTCATGGAGCCCGGAGAGAGAGACAGAGAGATATGAGTGGAGAGAGAGAGAGAGAGAGCGAGAGAGAGAGAGAGAAAGAGAGAGATAAAGGAGAGAGAGAAAGGAGAGAGAGAGAGAGAGAGCGAAATAGAGAGAAAGTTTAGGGGAGGGAAAGAAAGAGAGAGAGATAGAGCGCGTTTAATTCTTCTTTATCTTTTTCTTCTCCTTTTTCTTCTACTCCTTCTTATTCTACTCTTTCTCCTCCTCATTCTTCCTCCTCTTCATTCTTCCTCCACTTCTTCTTCTTCTCCTTCTTCTTCTTCTCCTTCTTCTTCTTCTACTTCTTCTTCTTCTTCTTCTTCTTCTTCTTCTTCTTCTTCTTCTTCTTCTTTTTCTTCATTGTCATCTTGTCCTTTTCTTTCTCATTTCGTGTTCCCATCGGTTCTTTGAAATTGCGCTTTATTGTTCAAAAATGTCCCGGGTCCAATCATTCTTCAATGCCATCGACCATCAATCGCGACCGTATTCCCCCCACAATAAGGGGAACACGGCGCTGTCACTCCTGCCCCCGTCTTCCATTCCTCCGCTCCCTAACGAACGTTGGGTGCCATTTAAAACCCAATAGATGAGGACAGATTGGCCTTAATGACGTTGAATAAAAGATGCGACTGGTTGGGATAATGAAGAATGCGGAGGAGGATGGGTGCATGCCCTTATCAACAAATTTACCCTGTACTCTCCAGTTATTTCTGCCTGACCCCCTGTTGCACCTTACCCAAAGTGCCCCGCGGGAGCAACCCCAAATAAATTGAACTGTTGAAGTCGCCTTTGATTTTGTGTACATACATAGTCATTATTTTTAGTTTGTTCGTTCCCTCTGCCTGGTTTGTGAATGGCAAAACGTATAAAAAGCATAGCCCTCTTCGTATTTAAGAGGAGGATTAGTCCATCCGCGGAGGCTATCCATACATGTTCTTGTGGAGAAAAGGACGCATCGCATTGATCAAAGTGCATTTCAAAAGACCCCAGACAAGTGAATGTAAAAGTGTCCTGAAAGTTCTTTCCCACCTTCATATCGGGACGTTAAAAAGATGCAATAACTTCGATAGACTATTCTGTCTGCTGAAGAGTTACTAAGAAGTAACATGTCATTTTCGTTTTTGTTGTTGTTGTTGTTGTTGGGGGAGGGGAGGGGGGTATTTGTAGACTAAATCTTATCCGGGGACATAAAAAATGGATGTAGCACCCCGCCCAAAGCGAATCAAATGCATCTACCGGCATTACCGAATACGTATCTCGTACTTTATTATGCAATTTGTAAAAATAAAGCTTCTTGAATGTTTGCCATGTAACTTTTAAGTGTTTTGTTAAAGAAGCTCAAGGATTTCGTTAAAAAAATATTTTGGTACGCAATCTTAAGATATTGTTGTGAAATAATTCACCCCTGTGTAAAGTTTTTTTTTTTTTTTAAAATGATATACATGTAGGTCTATATATACATGCATATATCTATGTAGCGTGAAAAAGTAAATGTAAAACAAAGAAATGGACAACAAACCTTAACTCTTATTTTATATGAATGTGATTCAGCACCAGCATTTATCTTTAACATTAGTCGAAAACTGACGGATGTGTCTTCAGATTGCGTTTGTCTAAACCATATTAGATATTTGCCCGGAAAAAATCTTAATTCCGTCTTTAAGATCAACCAGTGCGAGTATTAATGAATGCTCCGAGTCAATATTTCCGGGCTGATGTACAGGCAACATAGGACAAGTAGAAGTCGAACGTGGCTCAGTGAGTCGACTATATGAGGGCCTGTAGGGATACGGTGGTTATTCTGGGGCACGTAATAGTGTAACCGAGGAACGGGTATGGTCTTACAAATATGGGTTTTGTTTCATAATGTTTGCGGACCCGTTTGATGTTACTCTTCCCCCTCGGGCTAGAAACGGACTCTCTGCGAACATGGGTTGCTTTCTCTGTCTATATCTCTCTCTCTCTCTCTCTCTCTCTCTCTCTTTATCTTTATCCGTCTCCCCCTCTTCCCCTCTCCCTTCTCTCTATATCTCCCTTGCTTTTTGTCTCTATCTCTATATCTTATCGTCCTTCTTTCTGTCTCTTTTCCCAACCTCCTATTCTTTCTCTCTGTCAATCGTCCTTTATCAGTATTTGATACTTCTCCATCTATCCCCCTTTTTCTCGAACCTGATCATGCTTGGTATATTTCTATTAGTCTATAAATAATTTCGAGCCCTCTATCTCTCTCCTTACCTCATGTCTATGTACACCTCTCTCTCTCTCTCTCTCTCTCTTTCTTTTTTTTTCTTCTTCTTCTTCTTCTTCTTCTTCTTCTTCTTCTTCTTCTTCTTCTTTTTCTTATTCTTCTTCTTCTTCTTCTCTGTGTCCATATACCTCTCCCACTCTCTCTCTCTCTCCCTTTCTCTCTCTCCCTTTCTCTCTCCCTCTCCATCACCCAATCTCCTCTCTTGAAATCTCTTGATCTCCCCAGAAACTGTTTTTTATATTCTATAATGTCTCTGTCTCCTTCTCTCTCTCTCTCTCTCTCTCTCTCTCTCTCTCTTTCACTCTTTTTCTCTCATATTTATTATTCTTTTAAATCCCGTCATTCTAGTTTGCTCTCAATCTTCGATGTGATTTTCATAATTACTACGTTAGCTCTTCGTTTGCCTTCATTCATATTGTAAAGCAAATGTCCTTGCAGCTAAGCGGGAATCTTGGAAGCACTTGCTGCCAGCGACATTGATATGAATATCTACACCACTCTTATTATGTATTTCCATTCTTTTTCTCATCGTGCTAAAAGGTAACTCTAAAGCATCCCCCCTTTCATTTTTGAAAGCGAGTAAAAAAGCTTTTACAGATATTTACCTACGCCGCGCGCGGTGTATGTTAGTCAACTGTTAACAAAGGTGAAAAGGTAAAATCAAATACAAATGTTTTCATGATTCAACATCTAACAGTTCTCCTAAAAACGGTTACCTAGCAATAAAGAAACAAGTCACCATTAATCGGTTGTGGACATCGTCGAAGCTTGGGCGAGTGCTAATATTTATGAAATAATACTGAACAAAAACTCCAAAGTTGTAATACAACCTCATTTCGATTAATGACAGGCTTACCTCAACACGCGATGATGCTCAATATTGTATTTATTAATAATACGAGTCTCTGTACTATAATGTTTCAATATTACAAACTCACTATCACTTATGATGATTTAAGTGTGAGTTTTGTCTGGCATTTATTAAATTATGATCCAGCTTGCCACATTAAACAAATATACCACTGAATTAGACAAACAATAAGGATGAGATTTTGACTCGGAATTGAGCGAAATTGCGTATCGGCAAAGACTATTGAATCGACAGTGCAGACATCGGATTAGTGAATGTTTTCACATGTATACTCTAAATCTCGGAACGTAATTCAATATTTTAGTTTTGAGTTGTAGATAAAATTGGAAGAGAATCGTGTAAATTAAATAACCGTAACCGTTTCATTCGGAATAGAAAAAGCAAAATAATCGTTCTTGACCAAATGTAAAAAGAAAATGTGCTTCCGTCTTTAATTGATGAACTTTCATTATTATAAGTCATGTTCCTGTGATGGTATATATGTAAACTTAAGATGAAACATTGTTTAAAACTTAAAAATCATGTAAGGATTACGTAATACCTCGCTGTAATGTTCGAAAGGTAATCAACAAGGTTATTAAAATTGCCTCGAGTTGATTTATTTTATTTGAAATGTTTCCGATGTTTAATGTAAAAGTGGAGTTTATGTTGTATTAATTTTGTTGACTTGCCTGATGAATATGTAGGCCTTATTGTTCATTTGAATGATTTGTTCTGATTTGAATATCTCTTTCTCTCTCTCTCTCTCTCTCTCGTTCTCTCTCTCTCTCTCTCTCTCTCTTTCTCTCTCTTTCTCCCCTCTCTCCCCCTCTCTCTTCCCCCTTTCTCTCTCTCTCTCTCTCTCTCTCTCTCTCTCTCTCTCTCTATGTCTCCCTTCCTCCCTCTATCTTTCTCCCTCCCTCTATCTTTCTCCCTCCCTCTATCTTTTCCCCTCTTTATTTCTACCTCACCCCCTCTCTCTCTCTCTCTCTCTCTCTCTCTCTCTCTCCCTCCCACACCCACTGCCCCCACCCACTCCCTTTCTATTTCCCTACAGGTGTATGCTGCTCATAAAGGTGTAGACATTCAATGGCTAGGCGGTAGCCCTCCCAGGGCCCAACCTGTATGCGGCTTCGATGGAAGCCTTTGCAAGACCAACTATACAATTCATATCGTAGCTGGCGTGATTGCTGGAATTATTATGCTCACTGCAATCATAGCTACTATAGTGTACAGGTAACATATAAGTACATTTCCCCGCCCCCATGTTCATTTGTTGACTGTGAAAGGAAAAGCGGAAAATAACCAGGGGAATAATTCAGGTTTTATGCAATAAAAATGCTAATATATATTCCTATTATTTGATGATCATTAATATTTAACAAATTTCCTACTAGTTCATCCCTAAGCATCAAATGCATACCCAAGAAGAATAAAGTCATTGTTTGCTCCGCCAGACTACTTTAAATCAATTCAGAGAGAGGCATCAGATAGCAGCTTCTACACCCGAAATAGGGTATTACAGAAATAATCCTAACATCCTAACTATATTTTAACAATATCAACCCAACATGTGTACGATGATTTTTAATGTAATGGTAAAACAAAAAATATAACACAGATTGCGGTATTAAATTACAAAATACACCTCACTCCACTTATTTTGTGTTTCTTCCAATCATCGGGGCATCGCATGGTGTTGGGTGGTTGCGTTAAATGACCTTTTTGTGAAAACATGCTCTTTAATTCACGAAATTTCGGGGTTAATGTTTGCGAAATAAACCCCTCTCATTTACAATCTGGACCAATTTACCAAACACTTTGTGAAAACCCTACGGCAAATCTACAAAAGGTCGCATGATTTTCCGTTTCCGTTTTCGTTTCACGAAAGGTCGTGTAACGCGACCACCCGACCGAACGTGATGCCCCTATGATCCAAAGTAAGCCTTTATTCTGGTCGTTCATTGTGCCCTTAAAATTGAATGTAATCAAATAATGTATTTCAGAACGGATTCTGTTTTGTGTTTTCTACAGAAATTGGCGCTACGAGCAAGCATTGGCAAGCTTACTTTGGAAGATAGATTACAATGAGTTGGAATTCAAGAGCATATGTCACGGCAGTCGGGTAAGATATGTGAATTTATTTGTGTTCTTTTTCTTCTTCTTGCCCCCACCCCCCCCCCTACCCCCCCCCCCTCCACATAATTGTTCAGTGCTTTGCAGTGTATACACACTGTAAAAAAATAATAGTCGAAATAACTCAATAAAATTGAGGAAAAGAATTGCCTTATTTTTATTAAGTAAATATTACCTACGGCATCTTAAGTAGAATTTACTTATTTTGCTGAATAAATTTTTACTCAGTTAAATCGAGTTACATTAACGTAAATAATTTAAGTATTGTAATCATTTTAGATAATTAAAAAAAAAGCTATGATAGGATTACATATTGTACGATTTGGTACCCATCTAATCTAACAAGTAACATCCACTAATCATTCACTACTTCTATTTAAGATTTAACCGTATATATATATATATATATATATATATATATATATATATATATATATATCTACCACCATCACTAACTATTACATACGCTTCAATTCGACACATATTGAAAGGCTCCAAATTTTATATATACTTGATCGTAGCATCTTAAAAGGAAAATTGGTTGACAATTTCCTGAAATATCAGGTTTTGATTTGTTTTGAACTGGGTAACAATTAAAAGTTGTCTTGCCTTTGCTTAGCCATGTTAAATGAATTAGTAAATGTTTTAAAGTCCTTAAATTTTCATTCAACCACAAAAAAGAATTGTTTTATTTAAAAAAGAGTTTCATTTGGTCTTAATGAATATTCATAAATTATGTAAATATTTCTATTACGCACTGCATCGGTCCTTACTTTAAAAAGATAAGAATAATCAACATAAATTGTTTGAGTAATACGTATAATTTCTGATTTTGAGTTAAAATTACTAAATTAATACAAGCTGAAATTACTTAAAGTTCTTATGTATTTGATTTTACTTAAATATTCCACGTATGTTCTACTAAATTGAAAGTTTGAGTTAGCAAGACTTAAATTTAGTGCGTAAGTGGCAAAACTAATGTTTTCAAGTAAATTCTACATGGAAAAAATACGTAAAAATTACCAATGAACAAATTCTTTTTTACAGTGCAGAAGGCATAAGGAAAATCTCCCCAAAACAACCTGCTGTTGATAAACTGTATATTTTTGTAGAATAATGCTGTGGATTTATTTCATATGTTTGCCATTTTGAAGAGAGTAGCAAATGTAGATTAGTGTGTTGCTGCAACAGACATTGGTGCCGCGGCGGGACTCGAACAGTGAAATATGCGATCCACAGTCCAGTGACGTATTTAATGGACCACGGCACCTTTATTAGTTATAATGCCTTTAAGGGTGGTTAAAATATCACGATTCCGATTAAGGTTTAATTTTAACTTTTGCTTTCTCTCTCTCTCTCTCTCTGTTTGTTTATTAAACTGCTTCAGTCTAGCAGTAATCACTATTCACAGTACTCGTAAACATTACTTTTAAGATGTTCATGCGTGGGTATATAGTCGTTTGTGAAGTAGGCAACTTGGCAAACACGACATAACACTGGGGTAACGGGTATTACGCTCCCGTGCGTACTAGTGTCACTCAGAGCCATCTATACACAGACTTGGGCCAACTTGGTTTCACTGGGTCACAACATGTTGTGAGCTTGCCCAACAAAACAGTAGTCGCCATATTGTGTCCAACTCGAACCGGGTTGGCCAAACTCTCTTAATCAATGGCACTGGTGTCCCTGTATGTGTGCTGCCCTCTATAAACCCACGCATGAGCAACTTTAAAGTAGAGACTTCCACCTTAATCAAACGTTTTACAGAGCATAAACTAATAGCAAGGGGGATATGCCACTTGACTGGATGAAAGGTGTCATGGACCTAGGATAAAAATGTAAAATGTTGGAGAAAATGTGCACACGCAAATTGTCAAAACCTCATGATGTGTATTTATATTTTACGATAAATAAGCAGTTTCTTCCAATCCCAATCGGTTGTACACTTTTCTCATTTTCAGTTAAGTATTGCGACGCATGATTCAAGAGTGTCTATGTACGCAGACCCGTTGTCAGGGCGGGGTCAGGTTTTCACCCGGGTGGGGCGGTACAACCACACCCTCGTCGCCATCAAACCCGTCCACAAGAAGCACATTGAGATGAGCCGTTGTCTTCGAAAGGAACTCAAAGTGGTGAGTACAGTATTGACTGATTTAAAGCCCCGCTGCACTAATTATAGCTACTTGCGCCCTCTATATAGCAAACTAGGCTTAATCGGTGACCATTGGTCCTCCATGATCCCCTTTTTCTTATGTTAATTGAGAGCTTAATCGATGAGATAGCCGACTTTCAGTGACCATGCAGGGAGGTCTAATCCCTCCTGGCCAAACTAGTGCAGAAGGGCTTTAAGGAACACAATGTCAAGACTGATTTTGATCTCCCAATTTTATGTGAAAACCCCGAAATCTTCCCTTCATTTTAGATTCTGACTTCAGATTCAACTAAGATACATGTACCTGTATCTCTCGTTTAAAAAAGCACTGGCAAACATCTTTTGTATTTTTCTTTCTTTTAAACATTATTCTGAGACCATTTTGGGGGATTTGGGGGATTTGGGGATATACGATCCAATGGCTTCCATCGGTAAATCAATAATGATAAATCAAAATCTCGTGTACGTCTCTTTTATGATGATTCCTTTTCCATGTATTTATTTTTATTAGAATTAAAGAGTTGAAGAAAACTCAGGGGAATGTGAAATATGAATAGAAGATAAAACATGCATACAACTGTATAATGAAGGATTGTGTCATCCATACACAGACTTAAAATCCCACCTGAAGAACGGTTGATATTAAACCATTCATGTATTTATCTCCATTCTTGTCCATCTATCCAGATGCGAGACATGTGTCACCCGAATCTGTGTCAGTTCATCGGTGCCTGCCCTGACCCGCCTAATATCTGCATCCTCACGGAGTACTGTACACGAGGCAGTCTGCAGGTAAATTATGATCATATTTACCCCCTTCTATGATCCGGTGATAATTGCTCTGGTATATATTTCGTCAACGATAAAGAGTTGCAATTAGGCTAGTAGTCCACTGCTTGGACTGTTCTCGATTCGTCTATAGCAGAGCCATCTATACACAGAGTTTGGCCAACTTGGTTTCGCTGGGTCACAACATGGCCTATATTATTTTGTTTTGTGCTTGCCCAACAAAGCAGTAGTTGTCTTATTGGCCCGAATTCACAGGTTTGTCGACAAACCTCCCTTTGTTTCGACAAACATCCTTTTGTTATTTACAAACCAGGTTTGTAAAAAACGCGTCAAAACGCGTCATATGACGTACATAAACCTCGGTTTGTCGACAAACCTCCTTTGTGAATTCGGGCCATTGTGTCCAATTCGAACCGGGTTAGCCAAACTCTGTGTATAGATGGCTCTCGTCTTTAGGCGACGAGCTCTAGCTATGTTATGTATGTACAAAGTTAATTACGTTTTTTCGGGTAGGTGAATACGTAGGGTGAGCCAGCACTCAGATGTTTTTGTTTAAATTAAAAATGCTATAATATGGTCTAGTTTCAAGGTAGATTTAGAGTGAGAGTGGTTTAGGATTTAGACTATGACTTTGGTTTGTGAAGGATATTGACCGCAGAGCGATTGTCATCGGAGTATAATTTGTGTCATATCGATGTTTATACGTTTGAATAATTATGTTATTGATATATCTAGTGAATATGAAGACATGGAGTCGTGCATTTACATGTAACTATATATTGGAACATATTAAAGGATATCAAATTTCGGCCGGGGTATCAGAAGATATATTTCCTGCATTTCCCATTACTTTTATTTGAGAACGCACCAACAGAAAATGATCATAATAAGCCACGTGTTATCAAATTTAATGTTCATGTATTTGTTAAGTGTCTCGTTACAAACTAATTAATTCACCTGTTACAAACAATTGTATTTCAATAGTCAGAATGCGAATTGCATACATTTCGTTTGTTAGGTAGCACAAACCATAACGTTTCTCCTACCTAGCAACAATTAATTTCAGTCGGTATTGCCAGTGACCTGTGACATTGTATGAGATATATAATTTACATAAATATGCTCTTATTTTGAAAGGATATTCTGGAGAATGACGACATCAAGTTGGATGAAATGTTCATTGCATCGTTAGTGTCGGATATTGTCAAGGTAATGTGAGACATGGCGGCTTGGGAGTGGGCGGATGGTTGGATGGGGGTGTACTCAACTGATGCGGTATACGGGGATGTGCTGCTCTAATAGGTAGCTTTTTAAAAAAAATATTTAAAAAAAACATTCATAAGCACGGGACATGATTTTGTGTTGAAAAAGCCCTCATTATTTGCTATCCTCACCAAAATCATGAATAAATAAAGGTGCACAAATAATACAATGAATTTTCACCTTCTAAAGTAGGATGGCAAACGATGGTCAATATTCAGGAATGCTTTGTTTTTGTTTTAAAAAGCGATCACTTAGAGCAGCACATCCCAGTATATAACGAATATACGACCACCTCATAGATGAATCACTGCTCATCGGGTAACCTAATGTCAGTAGCGATGTAGGATTTGGGTTAGGTTTCTGGTTACATTTAGGATTAAGTTAAGCATTATGATTAAGATTGGGCTTCCGAGATAGCATTAGAAGAGGACAATTCGATATGAGCAACTTGAATGCTCTTTGCTCAGACTGGCTACACGCGTAGCTTACGATTAAATCTTCACTTGCCATTCCACGATAAAATATTCGCCTGCCGCAATTCCCCGTCCAAAGCACATCTGAGTACCACGGGGAGACATGGCCCTCGAAAATGTGTGCCATGTGAAATTCTGTCTCCACAGATTTTAAAATTATCATAAAGACCTATTATTAGAAGAGATTAGATGATTTTTATCGGGAAGTAAATTTCATCGTTCCTTTTTTTTTTTTTTTCTTCTTTTTTTTTTTTTTTTTTTTTTTTTTGGGGGGGGGGGGCAATTGTAATTCCTGGAGCTGATCTCATATTTTTCTTAAAGTCTTTCTCTGAATCTCCCCCTCCCTCTCTCCCTCCCCTCTCTCTCTCCCTCTCCCCTCCCGCTCCCCCCCCTCTCTCTCTCTCTCTCTTTCTCCTCCCTACTCTCCCTTACCCCTCTGTCCCATACCCATGTCCTTCTCTCAAACTATCTAATTATGAATTATAATATTGTCCATTTCTGTTCTTGCCTAACAGGGAATGAGGCATCTACACAGCACAGAGATCCGTACCCATGGAAACCTTAAGTCCAGTAATTGCGTGGTGGATAGCAGATGGGTCCTGAAAATCACCGACTTTGGTTTGGTTCACTTTAAAGTCGGGCAACAGCCCCCAGACATGGGAGAACATGCATATTACCAAGGTATTGTTATAATAATACCCAGCTTTTATAAAGCCCAAATTACAATTCGGTATCTAAGCGCTTCCAAACTTGGAGATTATTTCTCCGGCTTTAGCTGTGCTGCCATTACGGCGCTCTAGCATTTCAAGAAATTAATTCCTACCAGGTACCTATTTATATCACCTGTGTTGAGTGCGGCAAATGTAGAGTGTTGTTGTGTGTCCCAGGAACATGTATAGGAAAGTCCAATGTATTTTGTCCCTAACGTTTCTGATGTGTCGATTTAAATTTCATGAACATTTGAAAACGCCATTATTTCTTACAAAAACTGACAGGGGGTAGTAACTTTTTTGGCACAAATACGAAATTTTAGCTCGGCGTATTTTATTGTGTTGTTTTTTCACTATTAAAAACACGCAAATACTTTTTAAAAAGTGCGATTTCGAAAATTGATGTGATTAGTTTATTGACATCGCCAATCGGCAGTTTGCGTTATGGATGTTAACCTCCTTTAATAAAAACAATTCTTTCATTTTTTGTTCATGTACATTATTGGTTTATGTGTCAAACAAAGAAAACGACAAAATCTGGTCTAAGGTTTGGAAGAAAAAATGGATTAGACTGTAGTCATTTTTGTATGGAAATTCTTGAATATTTTGTCAATGGCCTTGTCGGTCGCTGTTTCAATTATCCCCGATTTAAAAACTTGAATAACACAAAACATTTTCCATTGCAGAGGAACAACACCTTACTCAAAAGACAAATTTATGATGTAAATGTGTGAGAATATCAGTCACTAAAATTTTCAAAACTCAGCTGTTACATTATTTGGACCACAAGCCTTCTTATTTTTTAAGTTATTAATCAAAATTAAAAAACTTGTTCTTCATTAACTAGATCAAAACGAAATCCATCTCCCGGCAAAACAGAATGCAAAACAGGATGTGAATTAATTTCGGGGGCTACTTTTCAAGCTTGCTTGCATGAAAATAACACTTGTTAATTTGTTTTGCATTGAACTCTATGCAAATTTTGGGGGCTCTTTTATGACTTTCGGGGGCTCTTTTTGGCATTTCGGGGGCTAATTCGCCCCGAGCCCCCGTGTATTTTTTTCACTGACTATGATCATCAAGGGGCACAATACTTTGCTGATCTGTTTGCCCAACATTTATAAAATGACAATTAAAATGATCAGCAATTTCTATTTCATCATTAATCATTTTATTTTCTATTTCAATTTGGGGTATTTTCACATAATTAGCCTATATTTTTATGGTATTAAGCATGTCTGGCTGGTGTTGTTAATTCTTTTTAGATTTACTGTGGAAGGCCCCCGAGGTATGGGAGCCACAAGGGACGCAGAAAGGTGATGTCTACTCCTTTGGGATCATTCTCTATGAGATAGCCCATAGACAGGGGCCCTTCGGGAACTGCGAGCTCAGCCCAAAAGGTAACGAAACAGATCAAACGCGATCGAAACTATTTTTGAGAAAATCAACTCGAATAGAACTGATTGTGTTGATGTAAACTCACATCAATATTCAGCTGAATTGTGTTTCAAAGTGCATGAATGTGTAACTTACAATGGCATTTGACTACAATGTATTATATATATACTCATCATTTGAAGGGGAAAAGAAAGAATGTTTTGGAACCTAAGGCACTGTATAGTAATCATGAAAGTAATAACAAACGTGAATGTATAAAAATGTTTTAGTCTTAAAGCTATAGATCATAGAATATATGATTAAAGCTAGAAATCTGCAATAGAATGAGTTACTTTCGTTCATATCTTATGATGGTTAAAATTCATGTGAAATTACATTTTTATATTAAAAAAAAGTATGATGGAAAGGTTTCTATTCTTCTGTTTTTTATTAATCTATTTTTGTTGTAGTGAACGTAATATTGGAATAAACTATTCAAGACACAATTAACCTTTTAAGTAATTGAAGATGGTGATGAAAATTTCGGAAGAAATTATTCCTCTTTAATCCAACGTCAAGAGATCGAGGATTGTCCCAAGTGTCGACTGACCACCACGAACTTTTTTTTTTCATTTTTTCTCGAGAAGCCGGTGTTGTAATATTCTTCCTCTTATAGTGTTTCCCTTTCAGCACGACATATAGCTTCTAATGTTGTCTTTTCTATCTTTTGAAGAAATCTACGAGAAGGTGAAAACCCTGGGAGAAACGATTCCCTTACGACCCAATGTGATGGAGATAGAGAACGGTCACGAATGTCTCCTGACCGTCATGCAGGAGTGTTGGGTAGAGGATCCCGAGGCCAGACCAGACTTTAAGACGATTGCAAACAAACTCAAGCCTCTTCATAAAGGAATGTAAGTTTAAAATCAGTAACACATGAAGCCCACCGCACACCATACGATCCTCCTGCGTTCCGTATTTTCGAAGAAATGGCAATTATATTAGACCAACAACCCCTATGACGACTACCCCGGACAACTACCCCAAACACCTACCCCCTAGGAGAACTACCCCCGGACGAATACCCCCAGACAACTACCCCCTAGGACAGTTGTCCGGGGTAGTTGTCCTAGAGGATGGTTGTCGTAGGGGGTAGTTGTCTGGGGTAGTTGTCCGGGTGGTAGTTGTCTGGGGTAGTTGTCCTAGGAGGTAGTTTGCCGGTGGGTAGTTGTCCGGGGGTAGTTGTCCTAGAGGATGGTTGTCGTAGGGGGTAGTTGTCTGGGGTAGTTGTCCTAGGGGGTAGTTGACCGGGGTGGCTATCTGGGGGTGGTTATCTGGGAGTGGATGTCCAGGGGGTAGGTGTCCTAGAACTACCGATTTTATTGCATGGCCATTCGGGGCAAGGTGATATCTTGTTCGGTCTGTGATCGGTCTGGTGTTGGTCTCATTGTTATAACTGTGGATTAATTGATGTTACTGAGGTAAATATATGAATCTTGATAAATGAACCTCCCATTATTAAGAAACTTACTATTGTTGAAAATCACAGTGGGAAGTATTGGTCCTTCTTCTTGTTCTTCTTCTACTTTTCTCCCTTTTTTCTTCCTCTTCCTCCGTCTCCTCCACCTCTTCCTCCTCCTCCTCCTCCTTCTCCTTCACTCTTTCTCGTTAGAACTAAGCTTGAAATACTACATGGTCTAACAGGTCAATTCATTTTCCGTTAACTGTAACCTTATGAATTAGAAGTCATGTATGACAGTGAAATAAATATATACATCGTGTTTTTATTCTGGTTTCTTGCACTGCCTCTTGTCTTCATCCACATCCACAGGAAATCGGACATCCTAGATAACATGGTGATGATTATGGAGAAGTATGCCAACAACTTAGAGGAGATCGTCGAAGACAGAACCCAGCAGCTAGTAGAGGAAAAGAAGAAGACGGAAAATCTATTACATAGAATGTTGCCAAAGTAAGTTCCGTCGGGCGTATTTTAATAACAGGATTCAGCTAAACATTTTTTGAAACCTCCATAAAATCAAACTTTTGAATATATAATTTTTGTTTCTAACTTGCGAAAGCAATGCCCCTTCCTTTACAGATTACAATGATGTGTAAATAACATATATATTTACATTACATCTAAGGGGAAAATAAACGATTAGGTTTGTACGAAGTCGAAATCCAATGAAAATAAATTGTTTCTTAAATGTTCTCCTCTTTGTAGTTTGTGATAGCGCCATCAATCGTGTATGGTCGACATTTTTTGTTTGTTTAGTGGCGGGGGAGGGGGCGTCTAATAAAGTCTATAGTCTTGACATGCCAGAATTATCTGGTTCTCAGTCTTGAGAACGTTGTACCAAAATACATGTGGCATAGCGACATAAGACAAATGATAAGTAGACTATAAACTGATGTTTCTACAAACGTAATGATTACTTCTCCTGAAACTTCTCTTGAATAAATACCATTATTATTATTATAAACAATGTTAAATTCAAATATCGTCTTGCTTCAGACCAGTAGCAAATCAGCTGAAGCGTGGGATGCAGGTTGTGCCCGAGTCGTTCGACTGCGTCACTATCTTCTTCAGCGACATCGTCGGCTTCACAAAGCTGTCATCGATGAGCACGCCTTTCCAGGTACATCTTACACTCGTTTCACAAAGCCTTTTTTCAATGACAAATGACAAAAATCAGTGACAAATCTGTTGATAACCAATCAGAAGCAAGGATTTCAGTAGCTTATAACAAAAACTGTCATTTTTCACTGATGACAAGTTTTGTAAAACTTGGGGGGGGGGGGATCAGCCGCGGTCCTCCTTTTGGGGCGACCCAAAAAGATGGAAATGGAAAAGAGAGAACGATTGAAGGAAAAATGAGAAGATAAAGAGAGAATTAGGTAAAGGAGAAAAAGAGAGAGGGTATAGGAAAAGGAGAGTCAGGGAGAGAGAAGGAAAAAAGAAAGAAAGAAAAAAAAGGAAGAATATGGAAGTTAAATTTACATGTACAATAATACGAAAACTAAATTTCTATACAATTGTGTTTAAGAGAGTTATTTCTCAAATGAAATGAAAGGGGCTATGTGACTTTCAAGGAGGAAATTACAATTTCTATCGCTCGTGACGACTATTCTGAATTTCCTAATTTAACAAAAATCTAGAACTTCAGAGCCCCAACACTTCGAGCAAAGGCTCTCCCCATGCAGCCCATCCGTAAAGATACAAGTGGTTCCCAAGACATCCTTTTAGTGTATAAAATTCGAGAGAGTACGAGTTTTATGTAGTTAAAGCTTCTAACATCCAATATCGTGGACCTCTTATTATTTACACAATTTCTTGCTGTCTGCTGCCTCGAGATCACTGGAGTGAAGAAGTGTAACAATGTACAGCAAGAATTCCTATCCAGTATTAAAGAATTACTCCTTTTTATGCAGATGGAATCTTCAACCATTCAAACTCAATCATGTGGGCATCATCCCATTGAATGTTTTGTTCAGTATTAAGGACGTGTTTTGCTACTTTCTGCCTAATCTGGGGGCTCTTTTTGTGCTCTTTTAAAAAGAGCACACAATGGGGAGGGGAAACAGTAAAATATAAATATCAAGGGATGGATAAGCCTTTATTTCTAAAATGAAATGAAAGGGCTATATGACTTCCAGGAGCGATACAAACGCTAATCCATCCCTGGAAATTTAAATTACATTGCCCCAATTGAGTGCTCCTTTCAAAGAGCACAAAAAGCCCTCAGATTGAACATTCTATCTCATATTATTATCTTTAAGAAAAAAAGAGAGGTTATTTCTAAAATGAAATGAAAGGGCTATTTCATTCAAGAGCCTTTTCATTTCGTTTTAAAAATAACCTCTCTTTCTCTCTTAACGAAAATTTCTCTCTTGAAAGTCAAATAAACTCGAGAGCATACTGGGGCTCCGCCCGGAACCCCCGGCAGGGGCTCTGCAATGCCCCTCAAGCTCTGCCATGTTGTACGGATCCATTTGAATAGAAAGCAAAATAAGTAAGCCCGCTCAATAATTTATATATATATATATATATATATATATATATATATATATATACACGTCATAGTGATTCATCCGAATAAATAGTCCACGTAAAGGGCATTTCGAAAATTTTAAGAAAATTCCTTTAGATTCCAAGAAACTGAGCCTACTTTTTCAGGAAACGCACTGGCGGCTTTGTTTCTTTAAAACTGTAACAATTCTCTTTGGATCAGATATAGACCAAAAACAAGCCTCATAATCTTCTGTATACAACTTTCATTTCAGACTTTACAACTTTCATAGAAATCACTTTTGGACCGTCAAAGAGAAAGTTTGAGAACCCCTGCCCTATCGTATACCCTATATAAATCATGTTCGGGTTACGTGATTGTCATGTCGTACATTTCAATAGGTGACACACAAGGCCATTGAAATTGCATTGCCTTACATGTTGATTTTACGAGAGTAGTTGTGATCTTGCTTTGCATTTCTAGGAAGAAAAACAATATTATTCCAAATATTGCAACATCGAATTTCATCCTGGCTTCCTCCATTTCATTCCCTCGTTGAACAGGTGGTTGATCTCCTCAACGACCTCTACACTCTATTCGATGACATCATCAGTTACTACAACGTTTACAAAGTCGAGACCATCGGCGATGCCTACATGCTTGTCTCGGGGCTGCCCATTCGAAACGATAATCGACACGCGGCCGAGATCGGCTCGACGGCACTCCATCTCATCGACGAAGTGCAGAAGTTCAAAATCCGACATCGCCCCGACGACACGCTCAAGTTGAGAGTGGGCATTCATTCCGGTGAGTTGGTTTTTAAATCCGTTATAAACATCCTTTTGTGTTCAACTCTCCTAAAGCAGACTAATCACCCGAAAGTGTTTTGCTCCTGATGTATGAGATTCGATTCTAGGACACCTACCCCCTGTACCCCCCCCCCAACCCGATAACCACCCTCTAGGACAACCACCCTCTAGGACAACTAGCCCTAGGACAACTACCACCCGGACAACTACCCCCCGACATCTACCCCTAGAACAACCACCTCCAGGATAACTAGCACCCGGACTACTACCCCCAGACAACTACCCCTAGAACAACTACCCTCCAGGACAACTAGCACCCGGACAACTACCCCCAGCCAACTACCCCCGGACAACTACCCCCAGACAACTACCCCTAGAACAACTACCCTCCAGGACAACTAGCACCCGGACAACTACCCCCAGCCAACTACCCCCGGACAACTACTCACCAGACAACTACCCCTAGGACAACTGCCCCTAGGACAACTACCCCCAGACAACTACCCCCAGACAACTACCCCGTACATTAACCATCCTCTAGGACAACTACCCCCGGACAACTATCCTAGTTATAGACTACATGACATAGACTACATGACATGACTAGAAATCAATTATATGGAATCAATATAGGTTCCTTACAGTACAGAGCGTATCCAAACACCTACCCCTAGACATCTACCCCCGGATAACCACCCCTAGGATAACTACCCTCTATGACAAATACCCCCTAGGGCAACCACCCTCTAGGACGACTACCCCCCCCCCCCTAGGGAATATAGTAATCCTTACAAACCTTTATTTCCTAATCTTAAAAATAAAAGTTAATTTCTCTTTTTCTTGTTTTCTTTCTTTCCTCCTCTGGAAACGAATAAACCCAGGCCCGGTGGTGACTGGTGTGGTAGGTCTAACAATGCCTCGGTACTGCTTGTTTGGTGATACCGTCAACACATCATCCAGAATGGAATCGAATGGAGAAGGTTTGTTTAAATTTAATACTTTTTTTTCTTTTCTTTTACCGAAAGTTAACGTTAAGCTCTAGTACAAAAATACGATTTCTTTGTGAAATGAAATGTCTAGAAGTTATTGAAAGTGGCTGAGTATGTAGTTTCCAAAGGTTGGCTGTATATTTTGAAGTTTTGGACTCATCAATGAAGTAACACATTTTACTGACAAATATACTAGTAAAAGGCGCTAAATACATGCGTATCTGGGACGATACACACAGAAGTTATGAAGTATCAACATTTGGTCTAAGGTTTTGAACTTTTGTGATCCACATTTGGATATGGGGGCATTTCAAAAGATATTCCTTTCTTGTGAGATTAATAGCTATGCTTTTATTTCATAAAGAAACAGCAACAGACACATTTTTTCCCTTCAGCTTGACAAGAACTCAACCTTCTCTTTCGTCTAATTACATTAAGAATCCAATTTATATTCTCCAACTTTATCGTGCAATAGTTTATCATGCCCATAGTTTTGAAATGATTGGCGGAGGCCCATAACGTGCTGACCGTATATTGTAGCTAGAGAGATTAATAACCATATTTTGATAATGAGGTCTCAGATAATACTGTCCTTTGCTCATAAGGCTGCACATAAAAAGGAATATGTGAAGGTCTAGGTTTGGGTTACAAAATGAGGTGCTGTGATTCAAAAGGTTGCTTATTGCTGGGCCCCGTCTTACAAAGAGTTGATATCAATCGTAACTTATTGCGATTGATATCAATCGTAACTATGTACTTAAGACATAGGAGACTGCAAACGTGCGGTTGATTGGAGGACTTACGATTGATTTGGATCGATCGTAACTCTTTGTAAGACGGGGCCGTGTTGTACATATTCGATATCCATATTTTCGGAATACAAACAAAGTAATATTTTCCATTGTCAATAAACCACTGACGCTCAGCTCGATTATTTTACCCGCAGCCTTGAAAATCCACTGCAGCGCCGAGTGCAAAGCTATTTTAGACGAGGTCGGAGGTTATGACGTACCAGAGAGAGGCATAGTCGCCATGAAAGGAAAAGGATCACTTCTAACATACTGGCTTGTGGATCAGGATCCTTCTTACAAGCGATTCAAGCCAAGGAGTGAAGACGTAGAGGAAGCTGTCGAGGATACGGATAGTCTGAGCGAAAAGCATAAGATGAAGAAGAGTCCAGGGAAAAGCTACTTGCGGACGCCTCTAGGGTCAACCTATATGGCGCCCTCTACGTCCACACCTAATACCGGCATGAAATCCTCGCGTAGCGTACAGGACATCAGCAGCTCGAACTTGAGGGAAGATGCTCAGTTGAGGAGAGACTCGGATGTGGTAACGCGGAGACGCAACAGCGATATCTCGAGGACCGAACTACCTAAAAACGGCAAGAACGGATATACCCTGCTCCCCATGGATTGTGATGATTCACTGCCGTGCTCCAAGAGTGAAGAGGTAGAGATCAGGACAACGGACTTCGGGGATGGCAGTGGCGATTGCTCCAGTCAGGCGCGCAGTGTTTCTGCTTGTTCGCTGAATAGGTGTGAGGTAGTTGGGGAAGAGGCAACGATGAACGGCGCTGTCTCGCAACGCTCAAGGAACAATTCCCAAGGAAGCAAGACCAAGACCAAAAAGAACAGCACAACGGATTCAGGCATCGGGAGCAACGGGAACAGCTCGCGGGACTGCAACATGCATAATGAAATTTTCCTTTGAGATTCGGCGCGGCTGTTTCTATTTATTGTCATGGTGCCTATAATTCTAAACATGAGGACAACTGAGAACGTTGACGGATATACCAATGAACCCTATGAAGTATACGGGCACAGACTTCAATACAGACTGCGGCTAGGACAAAAAAAAACAATCGCAGAAAACGTTGAAACCCGTTTACTTTCATGAATAGAAAAGACTATTAACCCATCCATTTCCCCCTGGAGAAATGTTTGAACTTTGCTATCAGAGTCACCCTTTTGTTATACAGTACTATGGAAACAAGCGGTGTCTGGATTGTTTATATTTGCTTGTTTGCTCCATGTTGTGATTCGACCATCCATCGATATAGACGCGTGCCATATTACCTTGTTTTCCCGTTTTTAGCACTTTATTGTAAAGTTTTCACAATCCTACGGAACTCTCCGTTGTCGTTTTAGTGATTTTGTTTGTTTACAATTTGAAATGCGTATAATATTATCACGTACATATTTGTTTATTATATTGAAAACTTCCGTTATTAGACGTAAAACTTGAAGGTGGAATATTAAAGTTAGTGTGATTCGTACGCGTCGAATTGGGAGTGCGTAATATGCATTACTAGTATATAGCAGTTTTATAGTCCCTTTGAAGTTCGAGTCATGCAATGAACTTAACCTTAGACATGACATCGAAGAAAAAAAAGAGATCCCACTTTAGTTTTTATTCAAATATAAAAATAACATTATATACATGCATGTAGTAGGACGGGGTCACTGAACTCTAAATTGTCTTGTGTACGTCAATGGCTACCATGATTTACTAAATCAAACAAATCTTGGGATTGAAAGTGTCACAATCGCCTGGCAAAACGTATATAATCTGCCTTAAAAATTACACGGCATTTTATAAGCATGATTAGGTTAACAAACAAGTCGTATGAATAAACGAAGGATAAAAAAAAAACCTTGTACACAACTAAGGTCTGGCCATTCATGTAGCTCACTGAAAAAGATATCGATAAAATCTATGCAGAAATTAATCATGTTAGGATAACGAGAACGATATAAAAACAAAACTGCTCCATACCTTCTTCTACGACTATTGTGACATCAAAGGGGTAAAATTATTGGCCTTAAAAATATTAAATAATGATCAAGAAAATAGTAACCGCAAGATCCCAACGAGACTATAAGAATTGTCTCGTTGAGGGCGGCTCCTTATGGACTGACCAGAGCCATCTATTATATACACAGAGTTTGGCCAACCCGGTTCGAGTTGGACACAATAATGGCGACTACTGCTTTGTTGGGCAAGCACAAAAGAAAAGAATATACGCCATATTGTGACCCAATGAAACCAAGTTGACCAGACTCTGTATATAGATGGCTCTGGTCTGACCCCCATGAACGATTGCCACATAAACAGTAAGGGAGGGATTTGGAAACGATGTTAGTTTTCGTTTTCGTCATCAATAAGGGAGTTTACAGATACAATCTGCGCATGGGCAGAAGAAGGTCATTTGTACCAAAATGGTAAAACCCACAGAGATGAATACTGGATATGCGCTCATGAAAGTTATGTAACATTATTCATTTATGCACCAACGGTACATTCTATGATACGCAGGTGGAAGTATTTTTTCAAGAGGTCAAACAAAAGGTATTCATGAAGCACATTTAGGACTTTGGCAGTTATTATTCTAAGATGCTCAAAGTGGAACTTCTCTATGAGTAAAAGATCTGTGGGTATTTGGGGTCATTTGTACCATGTGCTATATGTAAACCCCCGTATTAGATAGGACCAACCCTTTCTGTGTTAATATGTAAATCGAAAATATGACAATGGGGTGTTCATTCCTTTCGAGGCATGTCGCAAGACGACCAAACAAAAGATGACGATAATTGATTGGGATAGCACATTGCTGATGGACTGTGACAAAAGTTCAAAATTACAAAAAAAATATGAAACCATTTTACAGCATTAAGGTAGGGCCTATCGGCTTCATTTTGAGAGTTGGGTTTGTAATAAGGCTCATGCATGAAGCGTAATATGCAGGTTGTTTCTAATACATTCTAATACATCTGTGCCAATAGTAAGTTTAATCATTGTTAGACTTTGACATTAATTGTATCGTTAACTATTCGCATGATAAATATTCAGTGAGACACATTTTCAAAGATTTTACCTCTTTTGTTTCAGCAAGTAGTGGATATATGGTCAAACATATAGGCGTGTATTTAGCGATTTATTTATTAGTTATTCCTCTTTCATTATCCGTCAGAGCCGCAAGGCTTGATTTTCAAGAGAGCCATGAAGACAAGTGACAAAGTACATGGTAAAAATTACAACAACAACAATTAAAATCATATACACAATACATAATACACAACTATTTACTACTAATGTACGTTTACAACACAGAACACGTTTCAGTTTGAAAAGACGACCTACATGAAATAAAAGCTTGGTTAAAATGAGCCAAATAAAGCAAGGGCGTATAACTTTTTGTTTATTTGTTTGTTTGTTTTATTCACCATGTAAAACTAATTGTTTAGAGATAATAAATTCAGTGGGTTACATCGAGATATAATATATTATAGGAGCAGTGCATAAACAAGAAATGTTTGAAGCGCAACGTCCCTATAAAGGTAACATAGCTGATAATGTTTATGTTAAGAAAGAACATGGCTTAACATAAGACATTATGTCGTTACAAAAATAAAACAAAATACAAAACAAATGCTTGAATCAAAGTTGTATTTATCAAACAAAACAGGTTCACATAATTTTATATACTTGCACTGATACGATAAACTCAAACAAGATATAAAACACATGAAAGGATTTTAAATCAAGTCAGACTGAAGAGTTTAAAGAAAAGTGTGGTTAAAAAGAAAACGCCAGATTAAAGTATATAGATAGCACAAAAGAAAGACGATATAGCACACAATGGATTGTTTAACGAGACTAAAAGATAATAATACAACAAAAATAAGCAAAAGTCAGCCTTCGTTGAAAGTAGAGAAATCCGTTATAATTATATATACTGTTTAAAAGAAGTGACTGATAGTGTCGGGTTTGATTTTTGAAAAATTGCAAAGATGATGATAATTGAATAGGAAGTGGTAATTTCTTAAACTGTGAACTTGCAAAGTAAGAAAACGAGCGTTTTTAAAAATCAGTTCGGCGTTTGGGTATAGATAATGCGCTATTGCACTCAAACAAAAGACGATGTTTGTTCAAATAGTGATACAGTTGTGAGTTAACAGCTTTTTCCAATATTTTAGAAACGGATGACAAAAGTGAAATAGGTCTGAATTTTGTTATTTGAATTGATCGTTTACTTTTAGCGATTGGAATAATTTTAGCGAGTTGTAGGTCTTTTGGAAAGTGGCCGGTCTGCCATAATCGGTTTAATAGGTAGGTTAAAGGCTGTGATATGAAAGGAGCACCCAGTTTTAGTACTTAACTCTTTCAGTACAAACTCAAACTCAATGTTACCAAATTTGAAAGAAAAAGCTGTTTGTGACAAAGTTTCAATGAAATTCGTATCATCCGTTGTGTTAAAACTAGAAGCTATATCGCCGCCGACATTACTTAACATTTCATAGCATTTGTTAGCTATAATGTTTTTATCAGAAATTACTTCTTGCTTAATAACAAAATGCCTTTCTTCCTGAGACTTTTTGCTTGGAAGTAAATTATTCATCACCTTCCAAGTTTCCCGAAAATCGTTGCTGCTTTCCGTAAGCTTCGTTCTAAAATAAAACCTTTTCAATTTTGTATTCAAATTGTTCTTTTTGTTTCTAAAGCAAGTATATTTTTCCCAGCGCAACTTCATGGTTTGTGTATATTGAACAGGTTGCTGAAGATTAGGTTGATAATTGGATTCCGGTATCTTAGCTTTAATTGGGTCGAAATTCTTTTTGTCGAAGTCCCTCTCTCGGGCTAAAGCCGAGTATTCATCGTTAATCCAGGGAGAACCATTCATCTTTCTCCTTATAGAAAATGAACGGAGCGTGTTTGTTACTAAGCTAAAGCATTAACGACGAAAATAGTTCCCATGATTGGTCGACATTGTCTTTTAAACAGAAGACTGAATCCCAATCAATTGATGCAAGGCCATTTTGAAAGTCGTTTTCGTTCAAGGACCTGAACGTTCTAAAAGAAGAGATTTTGGGCGTTAACTTTGGATGATGTGATTTTGTGACCAAGTAATCTAAAGAATGGTCTCGTAATCCAACTGATTGAACTCCAGTGTTCAATGGATCAATAATATCGTGTTGGAAACACATATTAGATTTATCAACGAGGTGCTGTTTGGAGTAAATGCGAGTAGATTGTTGAACAAGCTGAGTAAATCATAAAGAAGTACACAATTCAATCAGTTATTTGAAAATGGATTTGATGTAAGCATGTTACATTTAAAGTCCCCCGCTAATATAATTCTGTCCGAAAAAGAAAGAACACGATCTAAAACACAGTAATTTTTACAGGATGATGATGTTGACACGTAACTTTAAACAAAATCATTATAATCAAATTCCCCAACTCACTTGAACCAGGAATAAGTTACCTTCTTCTTCTTGATTTCCTCCAGGGGCCCGCTTCATAAGCCTTTTTTCAATGACAATTGACAAAAATCAGTGACAAATCTGTTGACAACCAATCAGAAGCAATCATTTCAGTAGCTTATAACAAATACTGTCATTTGTCACTGATGACAAGTTTTGTGAAACGCCCCCTGGTTTTTATGTAATTGCGCAGATTGAGTCAACAGAGAATAGGCAGACTATATGAAATAAAAAGTCATGTAATAGGGGTACATACATGTAGAAGATCCCAATATGGCATTAATGTGCAGGAGCTGCTTTGTTCACAAAAGATCGTACCATCGGCCAAAGAGTTCATCGCCTACTAGCATCATTGATCGCTAATTTCTAGCTATTAAACTTGACGTTCATCAATAAAGAAAATACAAATCATATTTTGAATCAGACTTTCAATTTAATAATAACTAAAAACAAAACGATCGACTTCTGTACTGATTATGCATGAAATGGTCAGGCCTCAATTTTTCGTAAAGACCAATGTTTGAGCATGTTAGGAGAAAAATTGAGAGTGTGTGCATATACGATATATAATATTTGATTCACCGGGCTCAATTTTAATCCCATTTTGCTGTCCATACGTGTGATTTCAGTGCAGTGGCGGATCCGGGATTCTGTGGCTGGGTACGGGGGCACATACCTGAAAAGAAAAAAAGGAAAACAAAAGGAAGAGAAAAAGAAAAAGAAAAAGATAAAATACCGGTGGGATGGACATTTAGATTGTACACTCAATTCGTACTTAACCCTTTGCTTACGGGAGCCAAGTGTTCCCTATGTTAAGCCTATGGAACCTATACAATTCAGTAGTCAACCGGTTCAGATATACTGGATTAAGGTTTGCCGGGAAGCATGGACCTATTTCACCGCCCCTCCCTCCCTCGCCGTGCGATCAGCTACATGCTTTCCTAAATATCAAGATGTCTCACAAGTACCAACAAAAAAGACAATTTTGTGTTCAAGTGTATTCCAATTTATACATGTTTCCTGTAGCAACGATGTATCATATTCACATGTTATACAATTGTTTTTTAATAGTCAGAATGCGAATTGCATACAATATGGCTTGCGGTACAAAACAATGGGGGATTTATGCAATTGTTATTCTGACTATTGAAATACAATTAATCGTAGCAGGTCAATGAAATAATCGTAACGAGGCGCTTAGTATGAAGGACCTCTGTATTAAATGTGCTTGCATACGTAGATAAACTACAGATGTACTATGAAATTTCGATATCATACGATATATTAACA